TTTCATATTATTAGAATGAATAGATAAAAATCATTGTGATTGTGCAACTTGCATTCTTGGAAGAAAGGCAGCAAGAAGTAAAATGAATAAGTAAAACTTACATTTGGTTTAATGGCAATACATGTCATGGGAAACAATAAAGTAAAGAAAGGGGATAGAGTTCTGAGTGGGAGGGAAGACCTCTCAGAGAAAAGAGATATTTGTACAAGTGCCTAAAGGAGAAAATGGAAAGGGAGATGTGAGATAGGAGAAAACTCAAAATCCTTGATGGGAGAATCTCCCCGGCATATTTGAGGAGTGTCAAAGATAGTAGTGTTATGAATAGAGCATGGATAGTATCAGGCAAAGCAGTGGGGAATGAGTCTGCAAAGTAAAGGGGACAAGATATTTTAGAGACTTTTAGAATCTTTCTAAAATCTTGAGCTTTTACTGTGAATGAGATGGGAAGTCACCGAGGGAGGAGGGAAAGTAGAAAAGTGATATGATTTGACAATCATTTTAATAGGAACATTTTGATTGCTGTGTAGAGGACAAAGGAGGGGAATAAAGGATGAAATAGTAGCAAGAAACTAGAGAATTTCCTCCAGGCAATAAATGAAGGAGGCTGGATCAGCGTGATAGTAGTTGGGTTGTGAGAACTGGTTGGATTCTGGATGTATTTTTAAGGTACAGCCAAAAGGATTTTATTACTATTTGTTCATGGAGTATAAGGGATAGTAAGCGTGATCTTGTCATGAATAGATTACAGCTATTATGCAGCAAAGCATTGGGTAATGAGACTAAGAAGTAAAGGAGACTAGATAAGACAAAAAAGACTAGGAAGAGGAGGTTGTGTGTATGTGTGTGTGTGTATGTGTGTGTAAAATATCGGGTGTTTGGTTTTATATGTATTGAGATGCCTGTTTGATATCCAAGTGGGAGATATCCAGTAGGCAGTTGGATTATTGAATCTGAAATCTGGTGTTATGGCATAAGTATTCAGCATCTAAATGGTATACCCATGAAACTATATATTTTCACCTAAGATCAAATATATCTAGGAAGTGAAGATATCTATGCATTAGAACCTGGGACCCTCCAATATTGAAAAATGAGAGCGATGATAAGAATGAATCAACCAGGGGAGTGAGAAGGAGTGTTCAGAGAGGGTTAGGGGGAAAGGAACAGAAAGATAGAAGCTAAGGGAAGAAAGTGTTTCAAACATGGGAAATGAATAACTGTGTCAAATGCTGCCCATAGGTTAAGTATGTTGAGGACTAAAACTAACTGCTGGATTTGACATCCTGAGGCCATTATGGATCTTGATGTGAACACTTTTGATAGAGTAGTGGAAATGCACTTGTTGCAAGAAAAATTAGAAACAAGGAATATAAATAGGCAGCTACCTTCCTTATACACATTGTCTCAGGTATAAGTGCTGCATTTCATTCTCAAAAGTATTCTAGTTTGGGCCACTCTGGTGGTGCAGGTAGTTGAGTGCTGCACTGTGAAGCTGTCTGCACCCTCTGCAGTGCCGGTTCGATCCTCTCTGGCCTCAGAGCAACTCACATAGCAAGCAGACCTCTCCTGTCTTACCCGCTGCTCCCTTCAGCAGTGTATTTTGTCAGCCGGCCTGTTCTGTTCCCCACTCTGTCTCTGGTGAATCCTCTCACCCTCCCTCGAATCTGGCCTGTACCCCTGCTCTTGTATAAATAAAAAAAGAAAAAAAAGAAAAAAAAAAGAAAAAAAAGTATTCTAGTTTGGGTTTTAACTTTATGTTCATCCTAATTATGTAAGAAAATCTTTGAAGGAGTATTGTTAAAAACAATAGCTGGAGGAACTATAAACTTAGCAAACAGTATTAATATATTTGCTGATAAAAATGATCCAATAAGGAGGCAGAGATTGGTTATACATGAGAAAAGGGGAGAGTTTGGGGAATGATGTCTTTAAAAAGCAAGAAGGGATAGAATTTGGGGGACATGGCCTTAGATAGGAGCTCAGTCAGTTCATCTTTTGTAATGGAAAGGAAGGCAGATTACACTGTTACATTTCTTACATTACATTTTTGTTGTTTGTTTATTTGTTTTCCACATATTGTGAACCTCTTAGGAGCACTAAGTATGAATGTCTTGTTCACGATGTGTTAGAAAATTTTATTGTTTTGCTCCTTACTCTAATGCCTGGCACACAGCAGGTATGCAATTAATGTTTGAATGAACAAATGAAGGTACTGTGCTAAGCATGTATATGTTTTATTTTTTTACTCACATTGGATCATTTCAATCAAATCTTGACAACCAGATTGATTTAATCGTATTTTTCTTGTCTAGGCTTACAAATAGCTTGACTAACTGATAGAGCTGACTGATAGGAGTGGCTGTGTTTCTACCCAAATCAATGATGCTTCCTAGGAGTAAAATCAGCAACCCTGCTGCATCATTTTGCAGTGATCCCAGTTATAGTTTTAACATGAATTTCCTATTTCCATCACCTATAAAAGCGATCCATTGTGCCTCAGTATCCATTTGTCATGTATGGTTTACCATTCCTATGGCATGTGTCACTCTCTGTGGTTTCTTCTAATTTAATAATAAGAATAGGAATTATATCTTCATTGATTATTTTTCTCAATACTGCTTTGTCTTATTTTTAGTTGGAGAACGTATTTCCTTCATCACTAAATGCTGAGTCCAGGCCCTGGTATGAAGCATATGCCAAAACATATTTGTTGAATAAATAAATGAATGAGGGCCTCCCCTGGTGGCGCAGAGGTTGAGCGCTGGGCTACAAAGCTGCCTGTAGCCTCTGCAGCGCCAGTTGGAGCCCTGGCCACTGACGAGGGTCCCACATGGTGCACAGACCTCTACTGCCATGCCCGCTGCTCCCCTCAGCAGTGTACTTCATTAGTCTGCCTGCTCTGCTCCCCGCTCTGGCTCTGGTGAATTCTCTCACCCTTCCATGCTTCTGACTATACCCCGGTTCTTGCATAAATAAATAAACAAACAAACAAAAAGATAAATAAATCTTAAAAAAAATGAATGAATGAATGATCAGATATGCTACTTACTGTCTGTAGTGGATGATATTGGCACACGGACCAGATCTCCTTTTTTTTGATGTGTTCATCCTCCAGCTCCCACTGCTTTCCTCCTAACAAATCAGGCTTGAAATCATCTCCAAAGGACTATCCTTGGGCTACCAGAGCTATATCACCCAAGTGCTCCAAGAATAATAAGCATCTGGGATTTTATGTCCTCCACTCTGGAACCAGTTTCCACTAACTGAGGGGTAGGAGTATTGAAATCTAGTTCTTTTGCCTCAAGGAGGCACAAACTCCCAGGGCAGTTTATACTCCAGAGCTCCCTGTGGGGTTAGGGGGAGGCCAGGACTTTACCTCGAGTTGTACCCTTTCTTGACCTATGTCCTTCCTTATCTTGCTTCCCTGGCTTTCTGTAGGTTTCTCTGGAGAACACTTCCATAGTAGATCACTTGTACATTCTATTCTTTCCTTAGGGTGTGCTTCTTGGGATCTCAAAACATTGCCTATTTATAAGCAGTTAATTTCAGGGACAAAGAATCATGACAAGTCTTTCTTGAGTGTTAAGTTCTGTTACAAGTGGTCTCTCCTGGTAGTTTTTGGTGGCCACCCAAAAATAGTGTATGATTTGGTTGTTGGGTGGCAAATGGCTTCCCAATTTCCATCAATAATTATTTTATTTAGTCAATATTTTATTATAGGCCTTTCTAATATAAAATCACAATGCATTTTCCTTGACTTTCCACTTTTTGATTGTACACATCTCTGTTCTCTCTCCTTAAACAAGAATAATGAAAAATAATTGTATAATCAATTCTTTTATGATTGAATACAGCTTCCTTTTGTCTTGCTGTTGAATGTAGATATCCATTTCCACATACTGCATAAACTACTGTTTTTTTAGTGATTTGGAGTGAACACTGACTCCTTTATCTGTAAAATGGGATTGGAAGTAATGTGCTTTGGAACTGAAAAGCACTTTAGTAACCAGCTGGTGGCCACACCTTCATTTTATAAATGGAACATTTGAGACCCAAAGAGGTTAAGTAATTTGTTCAATATCACCCAGCTTGATTAGTGGCAGAGCAGGACTAACACCCAATTCCCAGACTGCTGTGCTCTCTACTGCTCCACAAAATACATATTTCTTATTCACAGAATTGATATGAGGATTAGGGACCACATCTGTGAGAAATAGATTTAGCCTTTGGAAAGGAAGATGCTGGATGGCTTTATGAAAGCTTTATGAAAACTAATCTCATTTTAACCTTTTCTGTACAATTGTTAGTTTTGTACAGTTTTATGCTCTTTGCCTCAGGCTTCTTTTTGGCCAAGGACTAGATAATATACAATGCATGATTTAAAAATCAATATTAAGTAACCAGATTGTGTGAGAAATATGAATTGTTTCAGCTGGTTTTGAAGTCATGAGCAGTTGCAGACAGCTTTCCAGAATAGCAATCATTTATGTACATGAAAAGTTTTCAATTCCTACTTTGCATATTGGGAATAAGGACAGTTGGTTTCAAAGAAAAGAAGGAAGCATAAATTATATTTGTGTTCAATTCGGTAATACTTCCAAAGCTTGATGCAATGTGTTAACAAACCATGAATTTTCTCTCCTGCCAAGCCACTATATCCTGCCTACTTTCAGCATAGTCAGGGAACCATTATACTAATCCACTGTACCTTCATATCTCTAGCAAGCACATGTAAGTGATAACTTGGAATATTTATTTTGATGCAAGGTGTATAAATCTTCTCTATGACATCTGTAAAGTGAGAAAATTATGACTTACTCAACTTGGCTATTTAATTGTTTAAGTTTGGTTCTTTCAGACACAGCATGCTTTGATATATGAACAAGAATACTGTTAATTTTTGCAGTATTTGAAATGATTTGTGTAGATTCACATGTGCAGGGAAGATAACATTTGAGTACCAAAAGGTTAAAGTAACTTTCCTATATATTTTTAACTAGGTACGATTATATGCAAGACCTGATGCTATCAGAAGAGGATCTGGGGATTATGCTCTCCATATAACAAAGAGATTGATAGAATTTTATGAAGACTACTTTAAAGTGCCCTATTCCTTGCCAAAACTAGGTAAGAATTTTCTTGGTCATTTTATTGGAAGGGTTTCTCCTTCAAGCTGGAATTTCTTCTTTATGTATTTATCTGATACATTTCAGAAGCATGAAAATCCTAAGGGTTATATTTTTGAGAATGTAAGTATGAAAAATTTTTCTTTTGAAAAGGAAAAATAAAATAATATTTCTGAAGTCTTGGCAAATAGTGCTCATATGAATTAAGAAAGGGATTTAGGATTTAGCTTAAGGATTCTAAAAGATAACCCAAATAATGATAATTTGTTGAATATGTACTAGTGAAGGATGTTTGCAGACATCTCATTTAATCTTTAGGACTACTATATCAATAGGTACTGTTAGAACATTTTCTACAGAGAAAATTGAGATCAAGGAAATCTTCTGTACATTCAAGCATCCAATATGTGAAGGAGTTGAAATTAAGACCTACTTTGGTAGGTCTTAATGACTCCCGAAACTATTAAATATTTTACACTGCAAAGGCACTTACTGATTAATTTATCTTTCCTAATAATAAGGTGTTGGTCCTCAATTATTTATTCCTTTGATTGTTTTTATTCAGCCATATTTCAAGTACTCAGTGCTAGTAAATAAACTAAAAACAAGACAAAGGGAAATTTTATAAATGAGCTTTGTTCACCATGAACCTTCTTAAGTTCCTTTTATGAGAGTATGCTCAGTAATTGTTTGTTGAATGAATAAGTGAATGAACTTTGGTATCCATATTTGATTGAATCTGCCTCTTTTGTAGGACAGTGAACTATAACTTTCCAGGAACTTAGAAAGGGTACATATACCCATTAGAATTGCTGAAACTATTTTTCATTTTCTGAAAACCTGTTTTGAAATGTTATAACACAATAATCCTTTGTCCCTCTTCCCACAGAGTCCTCCTTTTCCTTCCCCAAAGCATTTTGATCAGTATCCTCATGAAAGTCACTGCTCATTGGCAAGAATACAGTGCTTACCTGATCAAAAGTGCTAGCATTTGGACCACAGGTTTTCCTCTCTGGAGAACTGGGCCTATTTCATTAAAGCAACTGCCTGCTGTGTAGTTTTATTGGTCTTACAATGAGTAGTTTCAAAAAGTATATAGAAGAGTTGATATTGTTATCAATGTGTGTGCAAGTTTAATGAGTGATTACAAAATTCTGAGGTTTTCTTTTAAATATGTGCTCTTAGAATTTGTGAGATTTTATTTCAAATTTCTAAACAGAATTTTATTTCAAATAGGATCTATGTTTTGTTTTGTTTTGTTCTCTTTTCTTTCCTTCTTTCCCGCTCTTTATCAAACTTCCTTATTAGAATCTATTATACTGAATCTCCCTGGTAGGCACCCAAGGCAGAAAGAAATATCTGACCTCATTTGCATGGGAAGTGACCCTGTTCTCTACTTCAGGTAAAACTATCTGGGAACTTCCCAGTTTGACCCTAATGTAAAATTCACAAGTGCTTATGTTGCAAGTTCAGCAGGAGAAGTAAAATGTGGATCTTTGTCCCCTTTAGATCAGCAATTAGTAGAGGAACTCAATTTATAACTTCAGGGGGTTCCATGTAACTGTCAGCTTGCAGCAGGAAGCATTTCTGTTCCTCTATTTCTCTCACAATTGAACCATGCAGGCTTTCATCTGTAGAAAAGAGCTTTGTTCACTGTTACTATTACTTGTTAAGCTACCTTATGGTGTATATAATTGAATGATTTGACTTACCCTGGCACACTTCTTTTTATGTGTCTAGGGGAGTTACCATTGCCCATGGCACTTTGTAAAAATTCTCTTAAAGTTCTACTTGTTTTGTATGTCTACAGGTATTTAAAACTATATGTTAATGGATTTATAAATATGCTTTCTAAATGCCCCCTACCTAAACATTTCTAAGCACAGAAGCATTTTGACAAATCCTTAGTTTTCATTGAACATTATGAATTATGTTTTAAATAAATTCTATGAAACTGCTCAGTCTTTGGAAATGATGCATGTAGATCTCAGCTGAAGCTACCTTTATACTTTGTATCTAAGATGGTTTCCAAAAATCTGTTCTTCCCTCCCTCCCACATTAATGTAATAAATATTTTTTTAGTGTCTCCCATAGGAGCTTTTCTATGTGATGGGGATACAACAGTGAATAAAAAGGCAAAAATTTCTTCCCTCCTGTGGCTTACATTTTGTCAAGTGGAGGCAGACATTAAAGCAATTAATCACATATACAGCATATCAGGTGGAGACAAGTACCATTAAAAACGAAGCTAGTATGGAATAATAGGAAGTGTGAGGAGTAAACCAGATCATAGGAAAGAAGCTGAATTTTTTAAATGGATTATTATAGAACATTTCACTGGGAAGTTGTCTTTTGAGCAATGAACTTATGGGAGCAAAGGAGTGGGTCAAGTGGTTATTATCAGGCCAGGACTCTAGGCAGAGGGAACAAGGTGCCCAGAATTTGAGATGGGACTTTTCTTCTTATATTTGAAGCAACAAAGATTCAAATATTACCCGTGTAGAGTGAGTAAAGAGGTTAGAAGAGGGAGGTGAATTGAAAGAGTAATGAGTATATGAGAGCCAACAGGCAGTAGTAAAGACTTTGGCTTTTCTGGGTAAAATAGAAAACAAACCAAAAACAATAACAAAAACAATTATAAACAAAGACAATTATAAACAAAGACAATTATAAACAAAGAAAATTATAAACCAGAGACATCCTGCAGGGGAGGAGGAGGGAGAAAGATCAGGGGGAGGGAGGGAGAAGCACAAGGGACTGCGGTGATGGTGCACAGGTGCATAGGTGAAGGAAATTCTATGGGGACTACACTGGGGCGGGGTGGGGGGAAGCAGACATTGTTTAAAAATGAGCAATGATGTAAAAAATATATAAATAAAATATTAAAAAAAGAAATAGAAATCTGTTGGTCAGTTTTGAGCAGAAGTACTATGTAATCTAGCTTCTGCTAGCTTCTTGTGACTAAGTTGATAATACAATGTCAGGCACTGTTTTTTCAATAGAAGGTGTAACTTTTGCCTCCCTGTAGCATTTGGCAATATCTGGAGACATCTTTGTCACAATGTGGTGGGGAGTGGTATGTGTGTGCTATTGACGTAGTGGGTGGATGCCAGAGATACTGCTGAACATCCTATAATGCACATGACCATGTTGGGGTACAGGGGACGTTACCTCCCTTTTTAATGACATCACAGTGTTACAGATGATCATCAAGGTTGTGAAAGTAGGAAAGAGAATAGGAACAAAGAGAAACTGATCCATTTTTTAGAGGTTAGAAACATTAGGAGCCAGTACATGCTACCATGAAGGAACAACTTATTAAGGCATTCAGGATTATGTATATTGTGTTAACCAACTAGTGAATGTTTTTCAAAGAACAAATGATAAATTGTGTTAACTTAAATAGGAGTGAGAATTGACCATTAGTTGGTGCTAGTTATATGAAGGTCACTAAATGACAATTGACAAGGACAGTTTGGTTATAGTATGCATCTCTCTGAAGGGGTGGGGGGCAATGAAGTGCATTGTAGGTGCTATTTTCCTCATCCACCACTGACACGAAGTCTCCTTGGACTACAACTCCCAGCAGGCCATTAGCTTCCTAAATGGGAAGCAGCTGGGAAGGCTCAAGTTGGCTCTATATTGGCGATGCCTGGGAGCATACAAAGGCAAAGAAAGCCTACTGTGGGGTCAGGAATGACACTGAGCAGGTTTTTTATAATCCAGCAGATCAGGTAAAGTCAGAGTCAGAGTCCTCAGTGTTTTTTTGCAGGTTTTTTATTTAGATTACCAGGTAGGTACATGGCAGGCAGGGGTGCTGAGGGGCTGGGAGGCTGGCAGGCCTCCCCAGCAGGTCTTCACCCTGGGCTCTCCGGCCTTCTCTCAGCTTCTGCTTCTCTTGCTTCTCTCTCGGCTTCTGCTGGTGTCCCCATGAGGCCGCCCTTAAAAGCCCAGTCGAATCCCATCTACCTATGCCCATACCCTACTACAGGTGCCCGCCATCAGGCATGCATTCAGGACCACAGGGTTCTGTCATCTATCCTAATGGCGGGAGGGCAGAAAAGCCTGATACCTTTTACCTTACCCTACACTACTCTTTTTTTTAAAGATTTTATTTATGCAAGAATTGGGGTACAGCCCAGAGGCGTGGGAGGGTGAGAGAATTCACCAGAGACAAAGTGGGGAGCAGAACAGGCAGACTGATAGAAAACACTGCTGAGGGGAGTGGTGGGCAAGACAGGAGAGGTCTGCTGCACCATGTGGGTATCTTCCTGGCCGGCTGGCCATTAAATCAGTGCTGCAGAGGCTGCAGACAGCTTCACAGTGCTGTGCTCAACCTGCTGGGCCACTGGGGAGGCCCAGAAAGCCTACCCTTAGGTGAAAGATCATTAGTTTATGGAGGGGGGAGGTGAGGGGGAGGAAAGGGAAGGAAAGAAAAAGGAGAGGGAGAAGAGAGGGAAGGGAGAGAGAGGAGAAAAGATTTCAAATATCAGGTTCCCAATCAGACTCCAACAATTAGCAATCCTCATGTGGGCAAATGCTTGGCCAGACAGGCTCAGCCCCAAACAGGATGGCAAAAGGCTTGAAAGCTTGCAACAAGTCTAAGACATCTGCCAGTAGGGAATCACAAGGAAGGGATTAGGCAGATCCCAGAGAATTGTGACAGGGAACCGTATAATCTACCATGAGGTGAGGATAATGACTGCCATTGACTCCGCCAAAACGCACAAGTTCCCGGATGCCCCCCATTCAGCATGGACTGCTGGAAATTGTAGAATGTAGGATAAGTGAAAAATTATGAGGCATTTCCAGACCCTCCCGCTACTAGCATTAACAATGGATCCCTATGGTCCTGCATGCATGCCTGATGGCGGACACCTGGAGTAGGGTGTGGGCATGCGTAGGTGGGAACACCTGGGCTGAGAGACTGGGCTTATAAGGGCGGCATCACCGGGATGCCAGCAGAACAAGAGAAGACAGAATGAGAGTAGCAGAATCGAA